TACAAAACAGCTGGCCCGTATTATCCAAAACTGTCAGTGTCGGCTCGGCGCCTGTAGCTCAGTAAGTAGGGCACCAGCCACATGCAACGAGGCGGCGAGTTCGAGTCCGGCCCAGCCTGGGCCTGCTAAACTACAATGACAACTGCAACCAAAAAAAAGTAGCCAGACATTGTGGTGGGCGCCTGTGGTCCCAGCTACTTGGGAGGGTGAGGCAAGAGAATCGCTTAAGCCCAGGAGTGTGAGGTTGCTGTGAGCTGTGATGCCATGACATTCTACCAAGGGCAACATAGTGAGACTCTGTCTCAAAAAAAAAAAAAAAAAAACTGCCAGTGTCACAAAAGACAAAGAAAGGCTGAGGTGCTGATACAGAGACAGGACAAGTAACTGGGACAAATGCTTCTGGAATTGAGCCTGCATCTTGCCCTACTCCCACCCTACAAAACTGTGGAGGGCATCACTGGGATGGTTGGAGAAATCTGAGCATGACTGTAGATTACAGAAGAGCTTGAACCAATGATTTTGGTTTTGTTTTGTTTCATTTTGTTTTTTGTTTTGGAGACAGAGTCTCACTGCGTCACCCTTGGCCATGTCATCACAGCTCACAGCAACCTCAAACTCTTGGGCTTAAGTGATTCTCTTGCCTCAGCCTCCCAAGTAGCTGGGACTACAGGTGCCCACCACAATGGCCAGCTATTGGTTTTGTTTTGGGTTTTGTTTTTTTTTTTAAAGACACAGTGCTCTGTCACCCGGGGTAGAGTGCCGTGGAGTCATCATAGCTCACAGCAACCTCAAACTCCTGAGCTCAAATGATCTTCTTGCCTCAATTATTCTATTTTTAGCAGAGATGGGGTCTTGCATGAGACAGAGAGAGAGAAGATGCAAACACGATAAAATGTTAACATACTGAAGCATCTGAATGAAAAATTCCAGTTTAAAAAAAAAGAAAAAAGAAAAATTCCAGTTTTCTTGCAACTTTAGCCAGGTTGCCATTATTTTAAAATAAAAGGTTTTTTTAAATCTAAAAAAAAGTCTCCCTTACTACTCCCCACCTCCCAACTCCATTCACCCAAATTTTACCTCCTTCAACTCCTTAGGGAACCACCTTTATTAGTTTATTGTCCTAAATTTCCAGAGTCTCTATGTGCAAATACAAGGAAGAATGAGTCAGTCACATACTGAATATCTCTACAACTCTTCTGCCTACAAAAGGGAGCATGTCCCGTGTGCTAATTTTTTTCCTTTAGTGATATGGCTATCTTGGGGTTGTTTGGGATCAGAATGTAGGGACTGTCCACATTCTCTTTTCAGCTGTGTAGTATTTGCTCCACTAGGTCCAACATCCCCTTTAAAAAAATATTTTTAAGAGATGGGGCCCCGGACCTGCCTGCCTGGACACTTGCACGGAGATAGGCTTTATAGCCCATTTATTTCCTGGATTCGTTTTTTTTTTTTTGAGACAGAGCCTCAAGTTGTCCCCCCTGGGTTGAGTGCTGCGGCATCCCAGCTCACAGCCACCTCCAACTCCTGGGCTCAAGGGAGTCTCCTGCCTCAGCCTCCCAAGTAGCTGGGACTACAGGCGCCCGCCACAACGCCCGGCTATTTTTTGGTTGCAGCCATTATTGTTGTTTGGCAGGCCCGGGCTGGATTCGAACCTGCCACCTTAGGTGTACGTGGCTGGCGCCTTAGCCGCTTGGGCCACAGGCGCCGAGCCATCTCCTGGATTCATTTTAAAGAAAATCCCAGGGTAGGATCCAATGGCCTCTCCTCTTTTTAATTTTTTGCTATGTTGCCCTGCTGGACTCGAACTTCTGGCCTGAAGGGATTCTCCCACTTAGGTCTCCTGAGGAGCTGGAATTACAGGTACTCACCACCGCACCTGGATTTTCCTTTTAATAACCCCAAATAACTCTCCCCAACTAATGTTCAGGTATGCTGGGCCATGGGCTGAGTGGGCACAATGGCTTTATACTTCTTAAATCCAGGCTTCACACCCCCAAGGCCACCATCATCCTTCCAATCAACTGTCTTTTAAAAGGTAAAGCTGCCCTGAGCACTGCTTTATTTATTTATTTATTTTTGAGACAGAGCCTTAAGCTGTCCCCCTGGGTAGAGTACTGTGGCATAGCTCACAGCAACCTCCAACTCCTGAGCTCAAGCGAGTCTCCTGCCTCCACCTCCCAAGTAGCTGGGACCACAGGTGCCCACCACAACACCCAACTATTTTTTTTGGTTGCAGCCATCATTGTTGTTTGGCGGCCCCGGGCTGGATTCAAACCTGCCACCTTAGGTGTATATGGCTGGTGCCTTAGCCACTTAAGCCACAGGCGCTGAGCCCTGAGCACTGCTTTAAAGCCCTGATAGCTGCCCTTGGGGTGTAGGCAAATTCCCACCTGCTCGGTGGCCCTCTAACCCCCAGCTCTGCAGGGCCTGAGCTAGGCTCTCCTTGCCTATTCTGTCTCTGCGGTCCCTCTTGCACCCTGGTCTTTCTGAGGAGGACAGGCACATTCCAGCCTGGCTCTTCCCTCCCCATTCTTTCTCCTTCTTCAGGTCTGGGCTGGAATGTCAGTTCTTCCAGGGCTCTCGGCCGGCCATAGCACAGGGAGCCCCACCCCAAAGCTCTCCAGCGCCTGGTGCTCTTTCATTCCATCCTGGCACCATCACTGTAGGAAAGCGGCTTGTTTATTTAATCACTTGTTTGTTTTCTGTCTCCCCCACCAGAACATACGTTCCATGAGCGCAGAGATGGCCTGTCTTGTTCACAGCTGTAACCTCAGGGCCTAGAGCAGGACTTGGCACACACAGAACCCATGGAAACCCACTGAGTGAATGAATGAGTCTGTATAGTCTCTGGGAGGAAGGCATCACTGTCACCCGGTTTTATAGAGGCTCCAAGAAGGGGAGAGTCTCACTGCAGGTACCCTGAGAGTCAGGGACATGAGCCAGGCCTACTTGACTCCCAGGATGATCAGAGCCTGGTAGACTTGGTGGAGTCGGGGTGACTTTAAGCATGCCCCTCATCTCTGAGTCCTGTTTCTGAGGCCCATCCCACAGGGACTGTATGAAACCACTAAGTCATTCATTCACCATTTACCAAAGTCAACACCTACTCTGGGTGGAGGTAATGCCCTACATTACCTACAGGGACCTAGGACACAGTAGGCTTACAGCTAACTGGTGCCCAACACCCCCCCACACACACACTCCCTAACTTCCCTTCAGGGAGGCAGGCCACAATTTGGCGATTGTTAGAGAACGTTTTTTTTCCTTTTGGGAGGAAAGCTGCAAGTCATTAAGGGCTGCTCCCGGCTGCGGGTCACCATTTCCTGTTTAGAAGAAAGAATCATCTCTCCTCTGGAACATGAAGCTCCCCACCCCCAGCCTGACTCTGAGGCCCCCGCAGTTCTGGGACGTGGGATGCCTGCTCAGCTCCCCGCAGGAAGCTGGCACCTTCAGCACCTTTTGTACTCAGAGAGGACACTCATTTTCTCCTGGCCTCAGGAGGCCCCCAGCAGTGAGGTCACCACCAGCCAGCCAGGAGTGAATTATCCCAGGTCAGGATGTAAGCTGACCAAGCTGACCGTCCATCCCATCCTTGGAGCAGGAAGCTGAATGACCCCTACCCTTTGGCCTGGCTTCTCACCCTCCTGGCTCCAGCCAGCCAATTTCCTTGCATCAAAGGCCATTTGGTACCCAGTGGCCAGACGGAGGTGTGGGTCTGACAGGGAGGCCCGAAAGGGGCACAGAGCCCTTAGAACAGGAAGGACATCCTCTGTCTCCTTCACTGCACTCTGCTTGCATCTGGGAGAAGCAGCCAATCCTGCCCCAAAAGACCCACAGTAGCAAAGCCAGCTTCAAAATACTGGAATGAGAATAAGTAACAGCCTCAGTGTAGAGACTGCAGGGAGTTATCAGTTTATCCAGCCAGAGGTATCTCCAAAAACATCCAGGCTAGGGTAAAACAGTCAGATAATGTCCCTGACAATCAAAAACAGGACTCCAAAGCCATGCAATGTTTCCAAGGGCAAGATTTAAGGCTGTGTCAGAAATGTCTAAGCTCCAGGAATTCCTGCCCCATCCTCCCTTCCTAAAGAATTTTCAAAATAGACCAGATAGAGCCATTTTTACATATAAATTAACCACTTTATTGAATATCAATAAACTGTACATATAACTATACAAAACGTTTCCTTAATACAAAATGTTGTTTGCAATATAAATACCAGTGTACCTTTAAAAAATGTAAACATCTTCCTCCCAGGCCCACCTGTCAGGCCCCCAAAATAGTTCTGGGAGACATATTAGTCAGGCCAGAGCACCCCATTCGGGCCCCCGACAAGTGATGGCCATTACTCACAGTCCTTCTTGAGACATTGTTAAATTGCCCGTGAAACAGGTGCCACCATGACAAACAGGAGGCTGAAATAGCTGCCCAGGCCCAGGGGCATCTCAGGGTCTAGACACTAGGACGTGTCCAGACTGCCCCCGCAGGCCCCATGGACACACCTGGGGGTGGATTATTGCATAGTTAGTCACACCTCTTGGAGGGTGGCCTGAGGGTTCCTTGGGTGGGACATGGGGATGAAGGGGAATAGGGTCCCCTAAGTGGGGTGAGAGCTTCTCAGTCAGTCTGTTGGCTTTTGTCCTATAGCTTGAAGCAGCTGTATCCAAACAGCTCTGGATACACAAACCCACACAGAAAGGATAACTCAAGAATGCTTGAGAGCAGGGGCTGCAAGAAGTGTCTCCATTGCAAACTGCTTTCCAAATCAGCCATCCACAGAAATGGCCGCAGAAAGGCCTCTTCTGGAGTCCACTGAAGCACCCAGAGCAGAGAAAACCAGAAAACAGTCTTCAAAGTCATGTGGGGGCAACGCAGCTGGAAGCAGAGACCTCAGAAGGGAATCCCATGTCAGTGAGAAGGATGTGGGGGTCCTTCCTTTTGGAGCTGGGGGAGGCTGTTGGAGGAAGTGGGCATGGAGAAGAAAATGGATTCTCTAGGGTCAGCGGGGGCCCCCTGAGCAGCCTGACTCTTGGTGCTTATGGAGCAGGGACATGCGGGAGAAGGTTCGTGCACACGCCTGGCACTGGTACTTCTTGACGTCCGAATGAGTCTGGAGGTGCGCCCGCAGGTTTGAGCGGTCAGCAAAGGCACGGCTGCAGTGGGGGCAGGAGAAGGGTTTCTCACCTACGGAGAGAATGCTGAGTGAGATGTGGGCTAATAGCTGGCAGTGGTGAAATCCCTCCCCACATAGCCCCATCCCTGAAAGAATCCTGTGACCCCAGAAAAACTAGGCCTTGATAAAACACATCTAGTGTCCAAAGGCCTGGAAGTGACTGGGAGCTCTACTGCTGATTGGCTTCTCTGAGCTTCCATTTCTCACCCGGAAAATGGGCCTGTTCTTTTCCCTACTCATAAGAGTTGGTAATCAAGAGAAGGCAGGATAAAGTACTGTCCACATCACACAAGGACCTAGACATGTTCAATAACAAAGGCCGAGCACTTTTACCAATTGATCCTATAGTACAGTGGTTCTCAACCTTCCTAATGCGGTGGCCCTTTAATACAGTTCCTGTAGGTTGTGACCCACAGGTTGAGAACCGCTGCTATAGTGGGTGGTTTACAGATGATAACACTGAGGCACACAGTAGCATGTTCAGGGTCACCCTGCAGAACTCTAAAGCCCTTGATTAACCATTACACATACTGCCTCTGTAGAAAGAAGCTCTGGTTGGTGTTCCTTATTATCAGTCTGGAGACATTCCTTGATTTACTTTGTCTAGGGACAAAGCTTAAGAGACCTCCCCATCCTATCCCCACCCTCCACCTCAGAGCTGGTTGAGCCACTCCCTGGACCCTGCCAGCAGCCTGCTTCCCTCATTAACTTCATGGGAACCCCAAATCTCCCTGTCTTCCAATTAGACTGAGAGCAGAGGCCTCCCTGAATCCATTCTAAGCCTTAGCCGGAGCCTGAAATCCCTCCATAAGGCAACAGAAATCTGGGATGCAAGCATAATATCTGCTTGGCCCAGATTATGTTAGAGAAAGTCTTGCACATGGGGCTGGGTATACAGTAAGTGCTCACTTAGTGCTTACAGAATAAATAAGTCTGTTTAAAAAAAAGCCTCACGGCTCGGCGCCTATAGCTCAACCGGCTAAGGCGCCAGCCACGTACACCTAAGGTGGCGGGTTCGAATCCCCAGCCCGG